TGTGGTTTTAATTTGCATTTCTCTAATGGCTAGTGATCGCGAGCATTTCCTCATGTGTCTGTTGGCCATTTGAATGTCTTCTTTAAATCTGTACATTTTTAATAGTCTTTTTACTTTGTGAACACAATGAATCTTAGTAGAAACCCATTGCCATCAAGTCAATTCCAACTCATAGCAACCCTATAGGACAGAATAGAACTGCCCCATAGGGTTTCCAAAGCTGTAATCTTTATGGAAGCAAACTGCCACATTTTTTCTCCTATGGAGCAGCTGGTAAGTTTGAACCACCAACCTTTAGGTTAGCAGCTGAGCTCTTAACCACTTTGCCACCCAGCCTCCTTACAAATCTTAGTAAACATCCAGTCATTTAGAGTGGATTCTCAAAGGAGAAAAATAATGGGCAAAATGAAAATTGAGAGAAACATTTGTAATGCAGTTTGGATGTTAATAATAAAATTATATTATTATTATGATATGCCACAATGTGTAAAATGAGGGAAAAAGTATTTATTGCATGTTAATAGTTGACCCACATTCTCCCATACTAACATGTTAAACTGTTTTATCTTCTTCAGTTTCCTTCTGGTATTTGCATATGTTCATACCTGATTTTTAAATGCTTGTAATATAAATTATTTTGGTAAATGTAGATATAATTTTGTGGTTATCCAGAAAGATAGCTTGAGTCTTTGTTAAAGTTAAGACAAAATGAATCAGACATTTTCTTCTTTGTAGGCACTTGCTATTATATCATGTACTATCAGTATTAATAAAGAGCTACTATTTATAAGAGAAGTTTCAGTAACATTTTTATTATTTGAAAACTTTGCCTTCTGGGCAAAGATTGCTAGCTAAGTATTTTAATGGTTAAGTCAGGCTCAGATCTGGTATCAGTTTCATCTCTTCTCCTTTTACTAGCTAGTATTATTTCTTTGGTGAAATCTCTCTGGGTATCAGTTTCCTTGTCTTTAAAATACACTACTTAAACCCACTGCCGTCAAGTCGATTCCCACTCATAGTGACCCTGTAGGACAGATTAGAACTGCCCCCTAGGTTTTCCAAGGAGCAGCTGGTGGAGTCAAACTGCCATCCTTTTATAGTTGGCAGGTGTACAGTTAACCACTGAGCTACCAGGTATTAGCTAAATAACAGATTGGCTCATAAAATAAAGAATATTACCAGTGAGTACTGTGCATCTTTAAAAAAATCATCTGTAAGACCAAATGCAGACAGGGAAACCAGATTACTGGAAATGAAACATCCAGAATGGAATTAACGAGAAGTTGACACATTGTGAAAAACGTAACCAATGCCACTGAATAATCTGTGTAGTAATTGTTAAATGGGAACCTCATTTGCTGTGTAAGCTTTCACCAGAAGCACAATAAAATATTATCCAAAAATATATATACTACTTAGGATGGGCAAATAATCTCTAATGCCCCTTTCAGATAAAATGTTATATATTTCTCATAGCTGTGTTTTACATCATTTCAGGTCAAATAAAAACTTGCTAGGATCTCAGAAAGAAAACGTAAGAGAAGCAGAGTTACCGACTTGAATAAGCAAAACTTGTCTTTCCATGTTTTTTGTTGCTTCCAGAATTTTAGCATATGAACCACTGATGTTTTGCCTTATTTAGAAATAAAAAAAGACTGCTTTGTACTTTGTTCTTTTGATGTTATTCTTCTCTCCACCAGATACAGCAACAGCCAGAACCCACAGTTCACTTTGATGCATTCCTTTATGATGAAGACTTTATTGATTCATTATGTGAAGAAGGAAGAATGAGCAGAAACTACTGCATGGTGTGTGGCTCACACCAAACGGCACCTTTAGGTAGGCATTCAAGCAAATCTGATAACTGTAAATGTATTCTTCCTTACATGTCATGTGTATGCAAATTCTTGACCAAGTCATTCGATGTTTTTTGAAAGCAAAAATTCCGACGTGCAGCATACCAAACCAAACTTGTTGCCATTGAATTGATTCCGACTCATAGCAACCCTATAGTACAGAGTGGAATTGCTGTATACGGTTTCCGAGGAGTGGCTGGTAGATTCGAACTGCTGATCTTTTGGTTAGCAGCCGTAGCTCTTAACCACTATGCCACCAGGGCTCCAATGTGCAGCATAGCCATTGCCAAATATCGCAGTTAGTGAGATTAAATAGAAATATTGTCTAGGGAGGCTAAGGTCTCCCAGGAGAGCATGTCTGCTTTTCACATCCAGAAACTATTAAATCAACCGTGACTTTTCAAGCCCAGAAATTAACAGAGGTGAGTCAATACAAGGGAACCAACTCATACTTTCCAAACTCATAAGAGATTGATATATATATAAACCATAATGCGGATTTGGAGCCCTGGTGGCACAGTGGTTAAGAGAGAGGCTGCTAACCAAAAGATTGGCAGTTCAGATTCACCAGTTACTTCTTGAAAACCCTATGGGGCAGTTCTACTCTGTCCTTTAAGGTCGCTATGAGTCAGTCGACTCAAAGGCAACGGGTAAATGCAGATTTATTTACAATGTAAAATACAGCTTCCAAGAAGGCTGAAACATTCTCCATATAAAACTATCTACTTGAGAAGTCAGATGATAATCAGATATTGTTGGGTGAGCACAGACTCAGAGGACAAAGATAGATGATCTCGAGAAACGGTTTATCCAGGCCATGATTCAACCCAGTGAAGCATTCCTGGTCCATAAGAGGGAACAACTCTAGTGACAGATAATTCCTTGTGTCTCCTGCCCTTCGGATGTAGCACCTGTGTCTAAAACAGGAAACTAGACTGAGTCCATGCTACTAATATGTTAACTCTTCTGTTAACACATTGCTTGTTCAAACTGAAGATGATTGTCTAGGCTGTTGCTTTAGACATGCTATTTCAGTCACGCTGCTTACTTAGAGTGAGAATTAGTGCTGGGAGTGGGCTGCCCCTCCAGGTAAGTGATCTTGCCCTTACGTTACTGATCTTAGATGTCACTCTCAAAGGACAAATAGTGCCAAATTTGGGAGTATGTTACTAACATTTCATAAATTAATTGTGCTGATATTATAATTTGAGATTAAACTTCCCTGATTTACTGGTTTAAGATTTTATTTTTAGATGATACATGTGATTTCTATTTTAGGTAGTTAAAATTCACAGAGTAGAAGAGGACCTGGACGAGAATAATAGAGGGGAAACTAAAAATGGATTATAACTGTAACACCATATCAAACAGATCTGAATTTATACAAAAGTCATGTTTCACAAATAAACTTTTGAATATTAGGGTGTATCTTCCCATAAAAATCAGATTGTAAATAGTGACTGGTTACCCAGGCCAGGCTAGATGACTATAACCAATCTGAAAAACTATCACCATGTGGAACTCTCCCTCCCTGTGTGACCAGGGGCTTATCTAGCTATAGGACGCTAATGGTGACTCTATGGCTCAGGGGTAAGTGAGGATAGAAGATCCTGGGGAGATAAGGGCTATGGTGGTCAAAGCCTACCTCCCAAGAGTTACTTTGGAGGCCTAGTCACATCCTTTGCTCTCTTCCAAGGGATTGGCCTATCTGATTCTATTTTCTTTGCCACCATCTATTAGTTATGGCTAAGGTTCCTCCCCTTCCTGACCATTATATTATGTAGAACATAATATAGAAAGAGTTTGGGTTACCACCATATCAGAGGAAAACCAGATTCAGGCTATCCCACATATTTTATCACAGAAACTGGGATGAGAAGATGAACTAGGAGGCTACAAGTGGCAATTAAACAAAGGGAAAGAAGAGCATCTTCATGGTATCTTTATCTCCTTCCATACCACCCTCTCCTGCACTCCAGAACATGTTCTAGGTTGGTCAGGGCTGCCACATTGCACAACTCCAGTGATGGTTTTTCATTTGATTATCTACAGTCTGCACAGCAGTACAATGTGATTCTGAGGTTGGCTCCGGAGTAAGGTGAGAAAGCCAGGTGGTGTGACAGTTAAGAAGCAGTTCGAGGGAGCAGCAGGTCATAGGGAGAAGAAGGATAAAACGAAAGACATCCCAAGCAGCAGCAAGAAGGAAAAGAGGGGCTTAGGGGTAGGGATGGACATCTAGGTACCTGTTCTCTAGAGGCCTTGTAGATGTCAGAGACTTAATATTTGTTCTTCTCTAATACAGCCCAGAATGAATGAGTAGGAAATTATCATATTAATTTTTTTTTCTAAATAACCTATGGGTGGCTGTCATTGATTAAGGAAAAAAACATGAAAATTATAAATATAGGTGAAAGAATTAGAAGTACAGGATGGAATTATTAATACCTAAGCAAAACTTGATGTTCATTCTGTTCTGATTCTCCAGGATTTATTTCTCATTCCTTCTCCCTCACGGAATTGAAGTTCATTTATCATCATGTACTCCCTGATCTGTCGGGAAAGGTCTTGGTTGACGTTGGCTCCAGGCTTGGCGCAGTCCTTTATGGGGTAAAGTCCGGCTTGCGAACATACTCAGCATTTGAAAAATACTTTCTTCTGCTAGCAGCAGCTTTGCCTGCCACCATCCAAGGTGACAGATTGGCTTTATTTATTAGAGTAACAGAATAATAAGGGTAAAATAGTTTAGCATAGGCAGGCACGTAAGTTCTATTTAATAGTAATAATTGAATTTGGTCTTTCAAAGACCAGCTGTCTAATTTACTTTACTAGTTTATCTCTGTAACCCAAATGAAGAAATAAGAGCAAAACAGAAGCACGTGTTATCACTTTGCTGTTTTTGTCAGTCACTACTACCCTTCTGGAGCCCCGGTGGTGCAGTGATTAAGAGCTCAGACTGCTAACCCAAAGATCGGCAGTTCAAATCCACCAGCTGCTTCTTGGAAACCCTGTGGGGCAATTCTACTCTGTCCTAGAGAGTTGCTATGAGTCGGAATCGACTTAACGGCAGTGGGTTTGTTTTTTGTTTTTTTTACTGCCCTTCTAACTTCTCTTTCTTTGTACTGTACTAAGTAGCTTATGCTGAGCTTTGATAAGAGAAAACTCGAAAAAACCAAACGCGCTGTCATTGTCGAGTCAATTCTGACTCATAGGACAGAGTAGAACTGCCCCACAGGGTTTCCAAGGCTGTAAATCTTTACGGAAGCAGACTGCCACATCTTTCCGCCACAGACTGGCTGTGGGTTTGAACCTCCAACCTTTTGGTTAGCAGCCAAGCACTTCAACCACTGTACCACCAGGGATCCGTTGATAAGAGAAAGCTCTTATAAAACTACAAATATAGCTGACATAGGAAATCACTGTATAACCATATGCAAGTCACTTAACACCTCTGGGTCTCAAGTTCCTTACCTGTAAATGAGCAAACTAAGTGATATCCAAGGACACATCTTGCTCCAAATTTCTGTGACCCAAAGTTTGAATGTAGATGTTTCTGAAACATCACTTTAGTGTGGGATTTTTTTCTCCCTTTAATTCAGATCATCAGCATTTCTAATGTTCTTTATCAAAAAACTAAAATATGGTTTCTGGTTGTCATTAGCAAACTAGTTAAAACATGTGGCCACCAGCAGTAGAGGCTCATGCCAGAAACAGGGACCGTCAGTCTCCAGCATCATTGCCTTCTCTAAACAGAAACAGTTAACTCTTTAATGCTTAATAAATTTTTTACTGTGCAAACTTCTATAACTATGAAAGATAGCTTTAATAGAAAATACCAATTAGTGTTTATTTGGAGAACACTGGAGATTTTGCTTATTTTCTGTATTTTGTCCACTCTTCTCTGTTTTCTGATTTTAGTTAGAAAAGAGTAAAACTAAAATAATTGTGGATATGCAGGTATGATGGCAGCATTGATAAATTTGAATATATTGTCATTTTCTATATATTAGGTCACTGATTGAATCAACAAAAATTTGTAATATCTACATATGCACTGTTGAATATATTCTAAAAATCCATGATGAGCAACAGATACAAATTTGGTTTTCACATAGACACAAACTGATCAAAAATCTGTAGGAAATGATTTGACCTTTTCTTTCCTTCCAAGTTATTATTTTGTTATTTTAACCAGAAATAGGTAGATAACAATATATAGTCAGTTCTTGATTATCCTTGTTAACTAATTGTTAGTTATCTTTGACAGATTTCCGGGCACTGGGCTGACTTCCCTAAGCCACCCAGTGCACACCTCAGGCTACCTTCCTCTAGTGTCAGACTATGCATAATTTTCCATTCTATTTCCCACAGGTTAATTCCTTTTGTCTTTCCCCCTGATGTAACTTCCCAAGAAATTACAAAAAAAAAATCTATATGTGACCATTTTTCTCATTTTCAACTTCGTTGAATGCATAGATTTACCAGAAAAATAAGAAACCAGTTTTTAAAAATATAACTACTTTTATACAATGGAAATGAATAAACTGTATATCAAGGCCTTCATCTGTAAGAGTCTTTAAGTTTTCTGAGTTATAAGTTTTACAGAAACTATGAGATTTTATTTATCTTTCATTTTATTTTTACTGTATTGAATTATACTTTTTAAATTTCAAGTAGAAATAAACTCAATTAAGAGGTAATTCATTCGCATCATAATGTATCTTCATATTTTAGGGTTATCTTTACAGTTCAGCATTGCAACTATATGGAGTAGAAATGAATGAAGATTTTTGCCAGTTGCAGGAAATGGTCATAAAAAAATACCAGTTCACTGACAGAGTAAAGGTATACTTTTAACATGTATTCTATCTGTTGTATAGCATAACTTTAGCCAAATCTCTTCTACATTGGAATTGAAAATCTTTTCTAACACATTCTTGGTTACTGTTGTATAGAAACAATTGAGTTCACTTAATATCGTAAAGCATTAGTAAAGATGGATTATTGTAATTATATCCCATTCACATATTTCTCTTCCTCTCTAATTTTATTAGAAAATAGATTTTTTTCTTAATTTTCTTCATATCAGCTATAGTTTTCGTAGCAACAATTTTTAATCCCTACATGTTGGTAAAAATGTATTTAATTAAACTTTGTATGTTGAAAGTAAGAAAAAGGGTTAAGTAATGCTCACCATTTTTTATCTTCTTTTCCTGAGGTTTCAGGAGGAATTGTAAATGCCGCAGAACAATAGTTCATGGGGCAATGATGCCCTGGATTAGGATACCACAGAGATTTTCTCTTTTTCTCTTGTCTTAGTTATTTCAGGCTGCTGTAACAGAAATACCACAAGTGGATGGCTGTAACAAACGAATTTATTCTCTCTCAGTCTAGGAGGCTGTAAGTCCGAATTCAGGTTCCAGCTCCAGGCAAAGGCTTTCTCCCTCTGTTAGCTCTGGAGGAGGGTCCTTATCTTCAGTCTTCCCTTGGGCTAGGAGCTTCTCAGTGCAGAGACCCTCAGTTCAAAGGACGCGCTCCCCTCCTGGTTCTTCATTCTTGGTGGCATGAAATCCTCCTGTCTCTCTGCTTGTTTCTCTCTTTTATATCTCAAAAGAGATTGACTCAAGATACAACCTAATCTGGTAGATTCTGTCCTGCCTCATTAATATAACTGCCTCTAATCCTACCTCATTAACATCATAGAGGTAGGATTTACAGCACATAGGAAAAAAAAATCGTATCAGATGACAAAATGGTGGGCAGTTACACAGTACTGGGAATCATGCCCTAGCCAAGTTGATGTACATTTTGCGGGGGACACAGTTCAATCTATAACACCTGTATTTTAGGGGAAAAATAACCGAAAAAAGGGAAAGAAATTTTTGGGGGAGGTGAGTAATGGGGTAATCCTTATTGTTTCACTAATGATCCTATGCTTCTAATGGCAATCTAGAGAAATATTAAGTATCTAAAAAAAAGAAGCTTTTTTACACCGTCCTATGGCTATTGGCAACCTTAACAATTTCCTTCCTTGAAGCTATAGACAAACATTGATATGGGGGCTCTAAGATCATCAGATAGGGATTCTAGGATTCTTTTTGATAGCACCTGTTGAAATCCAACTAGCATTCAAGTCTCACTCTGCATTTGTTGTTGTTGGGTGTTTATTGTTAACACAATTTTCCTCAGAAGTCTAGGAATCTTTGATTGTCTGCTCATGCCTAAGAGTGGAAAACAAAAAAGCTGATTGAAGTTCTGAGCATCTGAGTGAGGATTGTTGACTGTGGGCTTCACTGTTGAGTGGTCTTATTTGGGTAATTCTTTAGTTGGGGTATATCCAATGTAGTATCTTTAAATCTTTTCTCTTGGGCTGGTCTCATTGCCCAGAGGAAATCTGTCCAATCTGCTAACTAAATGGCTAGCAACTACCTGAGAACCTAGTGGTGGAGGAAGATTGTTGGGGAGGTGGGGCTTCTCAGCATGCAGTGTGCATACGTTTCTTTCATTCCCTGTTTTCAGTACATTACCCTTGCCTTCAACTGGGCCTAGTAGCTCCTGGTCCATAGACCTTCTGTTTTACCCTTCCAGAGAATAAATCTCTATTCTTTTACCTGAGTAATAAAAGGGTATATAGGGATCTGACTCTTTCTTCAACTGACTTGGAACCAAATCTCCTTATTTTAGCATTTCTCCCTACCTCTTCACCCAGAGATACCTGGTGCCACCAATTATGAGCCTTTTGTGTCTCAGCTTTCCATATTTTTACCTTAGAAACCAATTTTCTCAGGTTTCCTAAATTCCTTACTACCCCTTTTTTTCTAACTTATAATTTTTACATTTTGTTTCTTCTCCCATTCTCTTTATCCCTGTGGACTTATACCTTCTTCTTAAAAACCCCTGTTACCTCATTCATATCCCTGGTGTTTATTCCTTCAATGGCACTTCTGTAGTTATTATCATAGGTGTTTTATCTCACTATTAGATTATAGTGTATTTGAGAGTAGATCTTGTGTCACATTCATCATGGTATATCTCCCTGCATAGTATCTTATGCAGAGGAGGTGCCCGTTAAATATTGGTTGCATTGGTTTTGGTTGTCTTGTGGCCTCTGCACTGTCAGCATTCAAGAATTTGCCCAGAGCCATTCCCTGATTTTTTATTTGGGACCTCCAAAGCACCTCTGTTGGCTGCCATAATTAATCGATCTACCTGATTCTTTTTTACACGGTCTGTGGTGGTGGGGAGACAAGGGTGAACAGAGATGGGAAAGGAAAAAGGGGGAACTGTGTGAGAGCTGAGGTCTATCAGTAGGTTAATTTACATACCAATTTCAGATCTAACCTGGATGCTTGGAAAGTTTGAAGTAATTAACTGACTTCTTTCTGTGTATTGGGGAGCAATGTTGTGAAAGCTGCTTTTTCAGAAACTAGGGCAACTTAATTCACTTTTAGTATTCTTATTACTTAGAAAATTTAAAAAACTTAGATCCCATATCATTCTAAATATTGCATAATTAAGACCAAGTGTTCATTTAAAAGAAATTATATGATACAAAGTAGTTTTTTTTTCTTCTCCTTTATAAAATAAAAGTTGTTTGCTTTGCTCTTGAGCAAATAAATGTTTCCTCATGTTACCATGCGTATGGTCTGTAAGACATTGAATGTAGCCTAAGTTAATTTTTAAGGTATATATTTTTTAATCGTTTTGTTTACTTTTTTGTGTAGATAATACACTGAAGTGAATTTTAGAAGAAGAGTTGGACACGGCCAATTAACATATTAACACTTTATAAGTTACTTTTATATTTTTACGTGGTCCATTTGACTCTGTGATTCAGGACAGACAAGATCTCATTTTATTAATGAGGAAACTAAGTCTCAGAGAAAACGTAAATAAATGGCTACCTGAGAGTACAAAGATAGTTGGTAGCGGAACCAGAATTTGAACTGGTAAACCTTTGACTCTTAGAACTGGCAATATAATAGAAAAAACTATGAACCAAGAATCAAAGAACATAATTATGACTAAATAAGTAATTCCATGTAAAACAAATTTTTACAAGTTTCTGGGTTTTTTTTAGATGTTAAGTATCTTCCATAGGCAGTAGTATTAAATACACTATTCTTTTTTCCTTTTTAAGAAGTGTTACCCTCTCATATTGCCTCAGTGACATCAGTGAACCAATAAATATTTCTCATGTGATTGTATGATGTAGTATCCTTGTTCTCTTATGTGAATTCATTCTTCCTTAGGTGCTTCATGCAGACATCTGTACCCAGGGTTCACTTCTGCAAAATGCTGATGTTGTTATAATGAATAATGTCTTTGAATATTTTCTTAATGAGGCAGAACAGACCAGGTACGTTATTTATTCAAACAAGAAACTTACTATCATTAAAATGTATCCAGCAAGGTATGAAAAAGGATTGGTATAATAGAAATGATTTTATATTAAACTTTTAAAGAACGACCTCAACAATGAGATTATATTAATAAGGAAAAGTGTTATACGCTAACCAAATAAAGAACAAAATTTGATTGTCCAACTTTATAAAATGTTACATCTAATTTGGGGCAGAAATGAAATGATTTTGTGACCCACACATTTGCTTAGCAGTCAGGAATGTATAAGATACCAATTTCCAGTGGGCCCTTACACTTCTTTTCTGCCTCGGTTTTCTTTTCTATAAAATAACACGTCTTATTGCTATCCTGTCACAAAATGATGAGGTTTAACTAATGCTTATAAATGAATATAAAGGAGCCCTGGTGGCACAGTGGTTAAAGAGCTTAGCTGCTAACTGAAAGGTCAGTGGTTAGAACCTCCCAGCCACTCCATTGGAGACAGATGTGGCAGTCTGCTTCAATAAAGATTTACAGACTTGGAAACCTTATAGGACAGTTCTACTCAGTCCTGTAGGGTCACTATGAGTCGGAATTGACTCGATGGCAGTGGGTTTCGTTTTTTTGGGTGTAAGTGAATATAAAACAGGATATAAGAATATTATCTTGGAAAGCAGTATTAATTATTGAACTTTAAAAATGTTCTTGAGGTGGTATTTATAGGTTCCTGGAGTTTATTCCACTATTGAAGTAGTGGAAAAACTAGCAAATCTATGATCACTTTTCTGACTTCCCTGCCACAATTTAATGCTTTGTGACCCATCAGGACCTATAAAACCTGTTGCCGTTGCGTTGATTCCAACCCATAGGGACCCTACAGGACAGAGTAGAACTGCCCCATAGGGTTTCCCAAGAGTGACTGGTGGATTTGAACTGCCAGCTTTTGGTTAGCAGTCGTAGCATTTAACCACTGCACCAAAAGGGCTCCATCAGGACCTATAGTCTCCTCTAATTTGAAAATTCCTGTAGTCTGTTGTCTGTGATGCTGATTTTCTGGCCAGTTAGGACTGCTGATTTCTTACTTATCCTCGTGGCACGTGTGTACTTCAGGTGTAGGAAAGCTCCTTCCCATATGTGTGAAAGGGAATTATAGTAATATATTTGGATTAGTGCATCAGTAATGCTTCCACTACAGGAAATAAAAAACACACATAATCACATACCATAGCAGTTAATGCACTGAATGGAATCCTGAATGCCTTATCCTCTTTATCTTGTCACCCCTTCACCTTCCACATTCTTTCTCACACAAACCACACATACTCACTCCTGTTACTACTAGGTTAAGGTCACTATGAAATTAACAATTTAAATAGTTTAAAAAGAAACTAGCTCAATAGGAAGCTAATTATATTGTCAACTCTCAACCAGAATGGGATGATGTTTTTTGGTCACAGACTAAAGATCAGCAACACAGCATGAACAAAGTTGTTTTAATCATAGTGCCCTCTTTAAGCATAATTTGCAGTGGACAAAGTATAATTAGCCTTTTGTTTTTTTAAGTTAATGACAGGTAGCCAAACTATTATGTAATTGTTAGAGAATGAAATATTACTAGGTTTATATTATAGGCAGTTCCTGGGTTCTAAACATCCAATTTACGGATAACTTGTACTGAAGAACAGACTGCCATAAAGCCTATTGCATTAAAAATTTGAGCTAAATACAATGGTTCGTAATAACAAATGCATGCACTACTTTGTGAAGCTCGTGAAAACACTGTAGGGTTTAGAAGTGTTTAAGTATTTTATATGCATAGGAATGTAAAATATGTACTGTAGACTAAGACAAACATCTGACTAACTGACGCTATGTAAGAACCTTATGTACTTGTTCCGACTTACCTACAAATTCAACTTAATGACAGACTTAGGAACTGTTCTTGTTCGTAATGTGGGGACTGCCTCTATATAAGAAGTTGAAAGGGAAAAACACATTAAACTTTTTGGAGATTCATTATAGAAAGATTTGAATGCTGAAGAATGATGAAAGCTATTGGTGAACTTGATACTGGAAATACTGCATGTTTGGGTTGTTTTTAAAACTTTCCTGGTACATCATTCAGAGACTACATAATTCACTGAATAGGTATTAGCCATATGTGTTAGTTCAGTAAATTCTCCCAACAGTCTAGTGCAATGAATTCTAAAAATAGATAAGTTACAGCCTCTCGTGGTTAATTTATTATCTTCATTATGAATGACAGTATACAGGAGTAATGTTAAAAGTCATAGTAAGGCATTCTGATATTGGAATCATTCTGATAAAACTTATCATTTACCTATATTAATTCTATACTGCAGAGAGAATAGATGGCATAGCACTTAATCTCCGAAGACTTGTAATCTAAATCAGAATCTCAGGACAACTGGAATGATATAGCTGTAGGAGTTAGCATAAGAAAAAACCTCTGTATACTCAGAAAAGGCTCAGACTTCAGAATAAGTTGGATACTATTAAAGGGTAACATCCTAGATCTGTAGAGCAATTTTTAGTTTAAAAGTTGCTTCTGTGGAGTTTTTCAGTAGGTAAAATGAATACAACTGCTATAGTGACCATTCACCAAAAGCAAAATGCTATGTTGAGAGCCATACCCAACCATGCAATATAATGAGCTCCTTCATATTAAATAAACTTGTAAACATGTCATTTTTGGATATCACATCAAAATAACAAATAGCCCTAACCCAAACAGTGGTATTTATTATCAAACACTGCTACATGATTTTAGATCTAGCCTGAGAAAAAGAGCATCTCTACTATTTTACCTAATGAACTCCAGAATTTGCTAAACCTAATAGCTATTTCTATAACTAAAATATGTACAAATGATACTTCTGCCCACCTGCCCATTGCAAGGGATGTATATCCCTGCTTTGCTTGACCATTGCTCCTTAGTGGTGGAGTGTACTATCAAGACTCATACACAGGATAGAAATCCAGTTCATGTCTACACTGAAGGTTAAACAATTGGTCAAACAAACACTGCCCTCTGACACACATATGCACACAGTATTCCATCTTGCATTGAAGCTGGCTTATGCCACTAACCTTTTCAAGTGCCATGTTGTACTGGAAGCCTTTCCAATGAATGTTACTGGCAGCCAAATAAAGTATGATTTTACTCTTGATGTTATTTTTAAAGATCTAATCTACATAAAACCAGTTGCAATGGAGTTAATTCCAACTCATGGCAACCCTGTGTGTGTCAGAGTAGAACTGTGCTCTACAGGATTTTCAATGGCTGATTTTCAGAAATAGATCACCAGGCCTTTCTTCTGAGGTGCCTCTGGGTAGACTCAAACCTTCAACTTTTTGACTCCAAACATTAACCATTTGCACCACCTAGGGACTCCTTATCTATATATTATTCGCTTATTGTTAGTCTTTGCTTGGTTTCTAGTTTCTGTGATCTTCCTTTCTCCATGACTCTTCCCCACCTGTACCTGCAGCAGTCTTAGCCCTGTCCCTGTCTATAGAACCAAATTTGACACAATTCATAAGAGATTTAAGGGCCATTAGCTGCTGAGCCTTATGGATAACAACAGAACATTGTCCAGTATAATCCTGGAAGATGAGCACCTCAAGTTGGGAGGTGCTCAAAATATGACTGGGGAAGAGCTGCCTCCTCAAAGTAGAGTAAACCTTAATGATGTGATTGGAATAGCACCTTCAAGACCTTCATTTGCTGATCTGGCACAACTCAAAATGAGAAGTAATAGCTGCAAACATCCATTAGTTATTGGAATGTATGAAGTATGAATCAAGGAAAATTGGAAGTCATCAGAAATTAAATGGAACTCTTGAAGATCGATATTCTAAGTGTTAGTTTGTTGAAATGATCTGGTATTGGCCATTTTGAATCCTACAGTGGTGTGGTCTACTATGCCAGGAGTGACATACTGAAGAGTAAGGGCATTACTAATAGCATTGTTAAAAAGAACATTTCAAGACCTATCCTGAAGTACAGTGCTGTCGGTGATAGGATAATATCCATACATCTACAAGGAAGACCAGTTAATATGACAATTATTCAAATTTATGCATCAACCACAAATGCCAAAGATGAAGAAATTTAAGATTTTTACAAACTACTGCAGTCTGAAATTGATCAAATGTGCAGTCAAGATGCATTAATAATTACTAATGATTGGAATGCAAAAGTTGGAAACAAAGACGAAGGATCAGTAATTGGAAAATACAGCCTTGGTGATAGAAATGACACTGGAGATCACATGATAGAATTCTGCAAGATCAACAACTTATTCATTGGAAATACTTTTTTTCAACACAGTCGATGACTGTACACGCGGATTACACAGGATTGTCATCTGTGGAAAAAGGCAATGGAGAAGCCCAATATAGTCAAGACAAAGCCAGGGGCCAACTGCAAAAGAGACCACTAATTGCTCATATGCAGATTCAAATTAAAGCTGAAGAAAATTGAAACAAGTCCATGAGAGCCAAAGTATGACTTTGAATACATCCCGCCAAAATTTAGAGACTATCTCAAGAATAGATTTGATGTACTGAACACTAATGACCAAAGACAAGAAGAGTTGTGGGAAGATATCAAGGATATCATACGTGAAGAAGTGAAACGCTGTTAAAAAGAGAGGAAAGAAGGAAAAGACCAAAATGGACATTAGAAGAGACTCTGAACTTTCTCTTAAGTGCAGAGTAGCTAAAGTGAACAGAAGAAATGATGAAGTAAAAGAGCTAAACAGAAGATTCCAAAGGGTGGCTTGAGGAGACAAGATAAAGCATTATAATGAAATGTGCAAAGCCCTGGAATTAGAAAACCAAAAAAGGAAGAACACAATCAGCATTTCTTAAGCTGAAAGAACTGAAGAGAAAATTCAAGCAATACTGAAGGATTCCATGGGCAAAAAAATTGAATGACGCAGAAAGCATCAAAAGAAGATGGAAGGAATACACAGAGTCATTGTACCAAAAGAAATTGGTTGATGTTCAGCCATTTCAGGAGGGAACATATGATCAAGAACCGCTGGTGCTGAAAGAAGAAGTTCAAGCTGCACTGAAAGCACTGACAAAAAACAAGGTTCCAGGAATTGATGGAATACCGACTGAGATGCCTCAACAAACAAATGCAATGCTGGAAACACTTGTCAAGAAATTTGCAAGATAGCTACCTAACCAACCGACTGGAAGAGATCTATATTTGTGCCCATTCCAAACAATGGAAGTCACACAGAATGCAGAAATTATTGAACAATGTCATTAATATCACATGCTAGCAAAAATCTGCTGAAGATAATTCAAAAAAGACCGCAAATGTACATCAACAGGGAACTGCCAGAAGTTCAAGCCGAATTCAGAAGAGGATGTGGAACAAGAGATACCATTGCGGGTGTGAGATGGATCTTGGTTGAAAGCAGAGAATACCAGAAACACGTTTACTTGTGTTTTATTGATTATGCAAAGGCATCTGACTATGTAGATCATAACACATTGTGGATAACATTACGAACAATAGGAATTCCAGAACACTTACTTGTGCTCATGCAGAATCTGTACATGGATCAAGAGGCAGTCTTTCAAAGCGGATACTGTGTGGCTCAAATTCTTAAAGATGTGTGGCAGGGTTGTATCATTTCCCCTTAACTTACTCAATCTTATTCAAACAAATAATCTGAGTAACAGACTATATGAAGAACACAGCATCAGGATTGGGGGAAGACTCATTAATAGCCTGTGATATGCAGATGGCACAACCTTGCTTGCCGAATGTAAAGACAATTTGAAGCACTCACTGATGAAAGTAAAAGACTACAGCCTTCAGTATGAATTACACATGAATGTGAAGAAAACAAAACTCCTCACAACTGGACCAATAAACAATATCATAATAAATGGAGAAAAAATTGAAGTTGTCAACAGTTTCACTCTACTTGGATCAACAATCAACATCCATGGAAGCAGTGGTCAAGAAATTAAATAACATATTGCATTGGTCAAATCTGCTGCCAAAAACCTTTTTAAAGTTTTTAAAAGCAAAGACGTCACGTTTATGATTAAGGTACGTCTACCCAAGCCATGATCTTTTCAATCACCTCATATGCATATGAAAACTGGACAATGAAAAAGGAAGATAGAAGAATTGGTGTAGAGTATTCAAATCATGGTGTTGGTAAAGAATATTGACTATAATGTGGACTGCCAGGAGAAGGAGCAAATCAGCTGTAGAAGAAATACAACCAGAAGACTCCTTAAAAACAAGGGTGGTGAGACTTCGGCTCACTTACTTTGGTCATGTCATCAGGAAAGACCAATCGCTAGAAGAGGACATCATGTTTGGTAAAGTAGCAAACCCATTGCCATCGAGGCAATTCTGACTCATAGCAGCCCTACAGCACAGAGTAGAACTGCCCCATAGGGTTTCCAAGGCTATAAATCTTTGCAGAAGTAGACTGCCACATCTTTCTCCAGTGGACTGGCTGGTGGGTTCGAACTGCTGATCTTTGAGTTAGCAGCTTTAACCACTGCGCCAACAAGGCTTCTTGGTAAAGTACAGGGTCAACAAAAACAAGGGAAACCCTCAGTAAGATGATTTGACACAGTAGCCACAACATCTTACTCAGACATATCAAAGATCATGAAGATTGTGCAGACTGGGCAACATTTCGTTCTTTTACACATAAGGCAGCCATGAGTTACAGCCGACTCGACAGCAGCTAACAACAAAGCTGCTAATCCAGCTTTGATTTGTTGTCAGTTCTGAAAACTGAGTTTTGGCCTTGTACACAATACTTTAGAGTAACCTGAATCCCGTTGTGTTGATCTTTTCCATACTGTAACCTCACAATTTTGCCAACACCTCATCAGGAACTGGAGAACTAACCGATTTCTAGTATATTGCTACAGTCCTATTTCCTGCTGGCAAACTTTTTTGCCCATCTGGATTTTTTAAGGTATTACCTGGGCTGTATTTTCTTTTGTCATACTCTTTTTCTTTTTTTTTTTTAAGTTTACAGTTTCTGGTAACCTAACATCAGTTTTTAATGTGTTGTAGAGCCTGGGAATATATCAACCATAATGTAAGGAAACAGGGATCGTTATTAGTAACAGTGCCAAGTCTTGAAGAGTCTCTTTCAGGTCTTCAGGTATGTAAGCCTCCTTTTCAGCAGCATTTTTGTTGTCAGAACTTTTCTGCTGCTTTTTTCTGATAGCTATTACAGTATTTTAGAAACATCTGTCTAAACATACTGACAGATGATAGCAGGAATAGCAAAACCTTATGACTTCAGTACTGGTTTGTGGTTTCTTCACTGGCCTCAAGGGATTTGAAATTGTTATTCTTATATTGCTATAAATGAGCCCTGGTAGTGCAATGGTTAAGTGCTTGGCTGCTAACTGAAAGGGTGGCAGTTCGAACCCACCCAGTGGCTCCATGGGAAAAAGACCTGGTAATCTGCTGCCGTAAAGATTAAAACTAAAAAAAAAAACAGACTCATTGCTGTGGAGTTGATTCCAATTCATAGTGCCCTGTAGGGCAGCATACAACTGCTCCACAGGGTTTCCAAGGCTGTAATCTTTATGGAAACAGACTGCCATATCTTCTTCTGCAGAGGGGCTGGTGGGTTTGAACCCCCAACCTTTCACTTAGCAGCTGAACACTTAACCATCGCGCCATCAGGCCTCTTTCCCATAAACATTACGGCCTAGAAAACCCTATGGGGCCATTCTGCTCTGTCACATGGGATTGCTACGAGTCAAAATTGACTCGACGGCACCCAACACTAAAGATTCCCTTGCTTCTTAACCCAATTTTTCCAACTGTGGGACTGTATAGTTTTAGGTTCATAAAAGCCATTGAGAACACCCACAACATAATTTTGTCCCTTAGAGCAAAAGGAATAGAGTTGTTCAAGGCTTCTGGAATCAAATAAGTATACTGAAGGCCCCCATACTGTTTGATGTCATCATTAGGGTTGATGTCACCCAGTGCGGTAACTCATAGTGTCACCTCCTCCATGGACCTCCTCCCATACCAGACCATACAGAATCCTTGGTAATGTTGTTTGTACTGATGTAACTCATAAATCATAATTCCCATATATCACTCCTTCTTTTCCTTTAATTACTACTTCATTCTCAAAGAAGTTATTGATATAGAATCATAAATACTAATTACCACAATATGGTAGCTAAAACACCAGAAAATTTGACAAAATCAGCAACTATAAAAACACCAGCAGCAATGAAAACAGCAGCACATGCTTGTAGCATGTGCCGATGAAACCTCAGGATTCAAAGCATCATTGTAATTTGGTAATAATGACAGCTCTGATTGGATCATGTTAATTCACAACAAAACCCACTGCCATCAACAAGGTTCAAAAAGTAAATTAGCATAGGGTTTTAGTCTTGTAGGTATATTGATGCATGTAAGCTGGGCTTACAAAAACTGTTTCCATTGTTACAACTAACTGCAGAGATATTTTTATATACAGTCATTTTGGTATCACCACCACTGACAGTCTACACCCCCTGCATCCCCCTCGTGATGCCACTGATACTGTTTACAGTTTGGCTTCTAGGTCAGTTTGGAATCTTGCACAGACCACTTCTCTGTTCCCTAGATTCTCCATATAAACTAAGGTTTATATTTAATAATAAGATTCAATCCAATAAATTAACCATTACATGAAGGTTAATTAGTATTCATAAAACTTTGAGATTCCTAGATGAAAGGAGCCCCAGTGATGCAGTGGTTAAGCCCTCAGCTGCTAACGAAAAGGTCAACGGTTTGAACCCACCAGCTACTCCATGGCAGTTTGTTTCTATAAACATTACAGCTTTGGAAATCATATGGGGCAGTTCTACTCTGTCCTGTAGGGTTGCTGTGAGTCGGAAGCCACTCAACAGCAAAAGGCTATTACACTTTTTAATACAGAATATTATCATTTTCATTAGTGGTGCTCTCCCAGCATATAAACACTGCCAAATTTAAGTACCCATTTCTTCCTTGGAAAAACTAACCAGTCACCAATAATACCTTTTTAAAATTTTGTCATCAGTTATCAAAATTACAAAGGTAATTCATATTTGTTATAACAAAGGAAATAATGCAGAGATGTATAAAGAAAAGATGTAAATCTCCCCAGTCATCCTTACCCCCACACTTTGTTCCTACCCAGTTAGATTGCCACCCCATGAGGGGTGTGATCCTAGCATACTCTTCCATACTCATAAAAACATACCTTTTAAAATATGTGGTATCCAATTTATGTTATAATTTCCATACATATTGAAATAATTTAGTGATTTTTCACTTAACAAAATAATAGCTTTCATACTAAATACAGAAATCTGTACACAAAATCTTTAGAAATTAATACTTATGAAAGAGCCCTTATACATAAAGTCTTAAATAACTTTATTGCATTCCTATTTAAGGAAACTTCTTTAAAGAGATATTTTCAGTGATAGTTTCAGAATTTCTGTTGTGTGAAGACTATAGTTTTTGACATAAGGGGAGGGGCCTGATGAAAGTTATGGAGGGAGATAAGCCCTCCTCAAATGACCCCTTAGTACTATCCCTCTGTGTATATTAACAGTTTTTCTGTGTTCTCTGTTTATTCTCATTATTGTTTTTGTCTTTATTGTTTAAGCCTAATGATAATTATTAAACTAGATGCATTAAAATAATTACTCCATTCTATATTTTCTTTATTCTTTTAAGTTCCAAAATCAAAGTAAATAAGTTCCTAGACCACAAACTTACCATTTAGTACCATAAAGAATTGTTCGTGTGGCACCAGGTAGAGTTTAGTCCTGCCCGTTGTAATAAAAATTTACTGTGTTCAATTACTTGATTAGTGAAGATTTCTTGAAATTCCAGAGAATAAGATCAGTCTGCAATTTTAATGTTTGTTTATAAATCTTTTTTTTTTTTTTTAGTCTAATATACAGTTATCCCTTTGGGTTGAAGAGGTACCTCTAAACTATGATGTATACCCAGAAAAGGATATTGACAGAGAAGCTCTTGAGCAAATTCATTTGTATAAGATTCTATAGCACTAAAAGAGTCCTGCCTTGGTGTAATGTTTTATTAAGTATATTATAAAATAATGGGGGGAAAAAAAACATAACCCCAATATCCTAACACATATTTTTTCTGTATGTCTTTCTAATCTTTGTACATATACTTACGTATATGTAAATAGTTGTATAACTTTGTTCTACTTTTTGTGATAGTATAATTAAAACATTTATCTGAAAATAATTGTTTTTCCCTGGTTTCTTTTATTCTGTTAGAAGCATAAATATTTGTCTTTCTTTAGTCACTAATTCTGTAGGCCAAGTCCAGATATGGCCCCCCAACAAAAGACCATGTGTTAGTTATTTAGTGCTGCTATAACAGAAATACCACAAGTGGATAGCTTCAACAAAGAGAATTTTATTCTCTTACAGTCTAGTAAGTTACAAGTCCAAATTCAGGAGGGTCTGCTTCAGGGGAAGGCTTTCTCTGTCAGCTCTGGAGGAAGATCCTTGTCATCAGTCTTCCCTTGTTCTGGCAGCATCTCAGTGCAGGAACTTCAGGTCAAAAGGAGGAGCTCTACTCCTGGCACTGCGTTCTTGATGGTATGAGGTCCCCCTGTCTCTCTGCTCGCTTCTCTTATATCACAAAGGAAATTGACTTAAGACACTATCTAGTCTTGCAGACCTCATCAATATAACTGCCGCTAATCCATCTTATTGAATCATAGTGATAGGATTTACAACACATAGGGAAATCACATCAGATTACACAATGGTAGGCAGTCATGCAACAACTAGGAATCATAACCCAGCCAAGCCGACAGATCTTTTTGGGGGGACACAATTCAATCCATGACAGACAAGAAATAACTTCTATCACGAGGGAAGGGTAGAGGGGGAGGATGAGTTACACTATCTCCTATTTGTTAGATATCGATTCTTTTAGCTTCCTTGTACACAGCTTTATCTGAAGTGGCTAGCACAAGGACTAAAATAAAAAATAGTTACAATGGCTAGTAAAAAAAAAAAAAACTTTAAAATAGAGATTATATCTATATGAAACAATTACTGGTGATTTTTTTCTTTTCTGGGTTTTACTCTATTTTCCTTTTTTTTTTTTTTCCTATAATGATTTATATTTCTTTAGAATCAGGTAAAGCAAAACTTTTTTAAAGAGTGCAATGGAACATCAAAACTTGAACACTACTTTACTAGTTCTAGTACTTTTGTATCTAGTATTATATTTAAATTATTTAAAAGAAAAACACACATTTTAGAATTGCGGAACCTTTTGGAGATCTGTCTCTTGACAGAGATTTATCTAATATACTTTTCATCATCACCTGCTTATGAAAAAGAATTTGTAGTGGCAGTCTATTCTAACTTTTAAAAGGAAGTTATTGGTCAGTGACTGAACAAAATGCTACTGCTCCATAGGATTTCCAAGGCCGTAAATCTTTACGGAAGCAGACTGCCACGTCTTTCTCCTGTGAAGCAGCTGGTGGGTTCAAACCAATGACTTTTCAGCCAACAGCCGAGTGCTTAACCACTGTGCAAGCAGGGCTCCTTATGATATGAGAATATTAGAATGAATATTAGAATTCCAATACCCAATATTTCTTTTTTTACATGGGCATTACTTATTCCTGCTAACGCATTAAACATTTTTAACTATACCAGCAACTCAAAAGGAAGTTAATACAGAATTAAGAAGTTATTATCAACTGTAGCATCTCTAAGTAACAATTGGTAAATATTTCCAGGAGGCTATGCAGATGCAGCTTTGGAAAGAGATTTATAGAAAAGGAGAAATGTGAATTTTAAATATTTCTAAATAGCTTATAGCTATTATTAATATTCTTTTATATATAATTAAATGTATTTATTGGCTTATTTTAATAACTTATATTTAGGCACTTAAATTTCAAACACAACAAGCAATACTACCTGTAGCACATATTGAGAGTATGACATAAGATACAAATAATAATCATCCAAGGGAGAAAAAAATGAGTTTATTAGCAGTATGGCGCATCACTACAAACGTAGCATTCGCTGAATTTCATTTATACTGTGCCTATTCTTAGGGAACAGTACACTTCCCAACTCTGACTCCCAATTGCTGCAGTGATTCTGTGACTGCCCTTGAGAAAAATGAACCTAGACAGCAAAATTTGCTGCTGTGGTGCTGGGTGAATGCCAGAACACCCATGCTAGAGTGCCCTGGACAAGACGTGAGGAGAGAGAACATTAGCAGCACCCAGGACCATGAGGGAAGAAGTCTATTTGTAAACTTAGTTTCAAATCATTCAGTTCTTTGTCTGTAAAATAAAAATAATTATTCAGCTACCATTAGTGGAATATAGTTAAGAGTACAAATTGTAGGTGGCTTCCATAGATATGTGATTAGAGCTACGGAAAAGGACAATTGTTTAAAAAGTGCTATTACTGCTATGTTTATTTAGAGATGTTAAACTATATTTAGTTGATGGAGTGGGAAAAACGTAAACTGAGCCTAAAATATTTAGAAATACTCTGCATGATATGTACATGCTTAACACATTTTTTAATAAATGCCTGAGGCAAATACTAGAACTATAGGATACCAAGGCAGCGGTGGATTAACCAGTAAGCAAGGTATGCACGGGCTTACATTAAACAAGGTACGCACAGGCTTACTTGTGTTTATTTACTAATCTGTAGTTGGGCTTACTTGTATTTACTTATTAATCTATTAATCTGTATTGCACAATTTCACATGGGGTGAAATTACTACAGATAAGTAAATAAACACAAGTAAGCCCGTGCATACCTTGCTTATTGGGTAATCCATCACTATACCAAGGAGACATTCTTACCACTATTAATATTCTGTATGGAATTATCCAACTTAATTTTTAAATTATGTGTTTGTCTAGAGACAATTACTATAATTTCATAGGCTAGTTTCTTTAGAATTTTTGGTTTTGGAAATTTTACATTTCTCAATTTCTTATTCCTTACCCTTGACCTCAAGCTCCCTCTCTACCCTCTAATGCCCATGCTGGGATCTCAGAAGGTTTGGAGGAAAGGAAGATAAGAGAGTTAATACATTTTCATATTTCAGCAGCCAAACAAAAAGCGCTTAAAGCAGAAAAACGAAGAAAAATATTTTTTACTGTAGCATTACTGACTCAACAAAAAATATTAAAATTACAGTAAATGTCCAGATAATTAGTTCTTTACCTCATAAAATACATGATCAGTTTGACAAATGAAAGAGTTAAATTGATATAAGTAAAGCTGCTTAAAGTTAAACTGATATAATAGAAAACAGAAAATAAAGGTGCTTATTAGAACTTTAGAGGGAAGTAGACATTCTAAACTTAAAAAAGTTATGGAATTAAAAAAAAATTCCCACCATTCTGATTATGCAAAATGAAAAACATTTGCATTCCAAGCACCCCTATTTGTTAAGGCAAATAAACTGGAAATTTTTTTAAAATATAAAATATATACACACGCATATAAGCGTTGATATTTTTATTGTATTAAGACTTTATTCCAGTTTTTAAGACAAACATTGACATCCAATAGAATAATTGGTAAAGGACAGAACAGAAAAATCACAGAAGAGAAAAAAAAAATTGTAAAGATAATGGTTAAAGGACATGACAGAAAAATCATAAAAGAGGAAATAAAAATTTTAAAGACATAGATAAATGTTCATCCTTGCTAATAGTTGAACACAGAATTAATATTTAAATGCCTTCTATCTCCCCATTTTAAGATATTTTTTCATTGTGAAATATATATACAGAAGAGTGAAGAAAACATTTTCCTACTTTAAACGGTAATTGTCATGTGAACACCTATGTAACCCCCTGGTCAAGAGATAGAACACTGCCAGTACCTCTGTGGTTACAACTCCTTTGCCACCAAAGGTAAACACTATCCTGACTTTCTTGATCACTTTGTGTTTCTTTGTAGTTTTACTGTGTGTCTGCTTCTCTAAATAGTATTGCCACTTTTCAAATTACATAAATGGAATACTGTTTATCTTTTATACTTCACTGCTTTTTCATAACTTTGTGAGATTCATCAGTGTTGTGTGTAGTTTAGTTCTTTTATTTCCACTGCTTTATTGTATTACCTTATATGAAAATACCACAATTTAGCCATTCTACTGCTAATGGACATTTGGTTTATTTCCAATTTAAAGCTATGATTAATAACATTCTTGTACATATTCTGGTATATATATCCAAATATTTTCCTAGAGGATATATCTAGGAGCTATGGGTAAAATGGCCTGATGTGTGTGTATGTTTAAAACATTACTACCAAACTGTTTTTCAGAATGGTTGTAACAGATTCTCTACCGTCAGTAGTGTATGAAAATTCCCATTGCTCTGCCCCGACTCCAATGTTTGGCATTGTCACACACATTAAGTTTGCCAATGTGGTGGTATGTAATACTATCTCACTGTAGTTTTACCTAGCATTTCCCTGATTATTAATGAAATTAAACATTTTTCATATGTTTATTGGCTATTTGGATTTTCTCTTTTATGAACTGCTTGTTCAAGTTGTTGGTGATGCCTTTATAATTTTACAAAGTAAGACATGTCAAAAACTTCTAAATTATTCAGTTTCACCCTATCTGGAGCAAGGGAGAATGAAGAAAACCAAAGACAGAGCCTCCACCACACTGCGTCCAGCACAACTAGATAGTTGCCAGCTACCACCACCAACTGCTCTGACAGGGATCACAATAGAGGGTCCTGGACAGAGCTGGAGAAAAATGTAGAACAAAATTCTAACTTACAAAAAAAGACCAGACTTACTGGTCTGAGAGAGACTGGAGAAACCCCAAGAGTATGGCCCCCAGACACCCTTTTAACTCAGTACTGAAGTTACTCCTGAGGTTCACCCTTCAGCCAAAGATTAGACAGGCCCATAGAACAAAACGAGACTAACTGGGCACACCAGCCCAGGCGCAAGGATGAGAAGGCAGGAGGGGACAGGAAAGCTAGCAATGGGGAACCCAAGGTGGAGAAGGGGACAGTATTGACATGTGGGGTTGGCAACCAATGACAGAAAATAATATGTGTATTAATTGTTTAATGAGAAACTAGTTTGCTCTGTAAACCTTCATCTAAAGTATAATAAAACTTTTATTTTAAAAACTTGTAAAATATTTAAAACCATTAATTCACTAATTATATTTTTGGGAATCTATCCTAAGGAAATAATTCTAATCTGAAAAACTATGTTCCAGAGATATTCATTAAAGACTCTTTCAACCACAAATCAAAAACAGCGAAAATGTCCAACAATAGCCACCAGAAGAAAGGAAATAAAGATCAGAGCAGAAATAAATGGAATAGAGAATAGAAAAACAATAGAAAGAACAAAATCAAAAGTTGGTTCTTTGAAAGAATCAACAAAATTGGCAAATCACCAGCCAAACTGACAAAA